TCGGTATTAAACTATATAGATAGTGTGCTGTCTGCTGAATGGCTGTGTCCTTGTAAGATAAGAACAGGGCTTACTAGAAAGGGAAGCTGCAGAAGTCCTAACTCAGAGCAAAAGAGAGGTCCTAACTTATTTTTAGGCTCTGCTGGTGCTAGAGCCCCCCAAAGAGTAAGAAATTGCATGTGCTATAAAGCAATTATCAGTAGGTGGTAATTGATATCACTATGAATCTCATACCACTTTAAACATGAAATAAAATACAACTTGAAATAGTGAACAGTTTTATATTAATGGAGAAGAGAGATTCCATTTTTTAATGTCAGTTACAATTTCGGGATAAATGGAGACCTTCGGCTTTGTACTGATTCAGGGCTCAGCTTGGAATAGCTGACTCGAGCTTCTTAGGAGTTGGCCACTGGAGCAGTTACAGGAGTGCGATGGCAGCTGCCTGCTCTCTCAGAGAAACCTGTGCTGCTGCGTCTTGGTCGGAGCACACAAGTACAGTGCTTTAAAATCCAGAGGGGGGACTGATGTGCCTTTGGTAAGTGCAGATGCTAGTTAGATAGTTGACCTGAAGAGGATAGTATCAGGATAGAGAGTCGGTTGCAGCCATGATACGTCTTACTTTTTGTTCGAGCTTAGGAGCTGGTATGGTAGGGAAGTCAGGAATTCAGGATGATGTGAGAAGCACCTCCGTTGGCTCAAGATCTCAAATTGCCCTCTAAGTATCTATGTGATTGGGGCTCACCCTTAAATTGCTGTTGAGGTGCTCTCCTTGTTCACTTCTTGTGTTTTTTCCTGGTGGCTGGATTACTCTTCCAGGAGAAGCAGCCTCTAGCCTGGGCTTTTTTTAGCTTGAGGAAATTTGAGCCTACGTCTGCAACTGCAGTGGTTGCTAACAGGGGGGCTGTAGGGTCATCCTGTCCTTGGAGCATGTACCCACGATCACTTTTGTGGGGCCGGGGACATCAGTAAGAGCAAGCCAACGAATAGGGTACAAAGCTGTAGGAGCAGAAACTTCCTCAAGCCACGGAGCCTCCTGTAAAAGGGCTCCTCTCCTGCTGTGGCTGGTGCACAGCTTTGTGATCGAGGGACAGGGACATTAGTGTGGCGTGGTCTCTGACAGTGCCGTTCCCTCTCAGGGGTGGAGAGGGAGTGGGTCTAACTCACATCTTAAGTATGCAGGCTAACAGAAGAAACGTTACTCACTCTGTTTTTCCATTAGGTCACTGCTGTGTCTTTTGAAAGGTTTCTTCTTGCTCCAGTGATGAGTCAGTCCATGTTTTTGCTCAGTAACACCCATGCTGATTTGGGGATGGGAAGTTCTTATTCATGGACTGATCTGAAGGTGTTGCCTCCTTTCACCCATGAGTTCCCTGAAGAAAGGAAGCAAACAGAGCTGCTCTTCCCTGCAGCGCTGCACAGGGAAGGTGTTGCCAGCCCTTCACAGATCTGTGCGCGCCTGCTTCTTCTTGCCCCCCACAATAACTCTTTACAGGGGTCAGGAAAAGTGACGTGAAGTGTCTAGAGGCAAGACTAGCTTAAGGATGCTACCCTCTCATTCCTGCATATCTGCTGCAATCTGCCATCCTCTCAGCTGTACCAGTAAGAATTCAAAATAATTTTTTTTAAGTGAGTTTGTTTACTAACTTGGTTCACAGCATATCACCGCAGCTGGCCTGCAGGCTACACCTGAAAAGGCACTTTGTCTGGTGCCTAAAATTTGCAGGGAAACTAGTACTGTAAAATCCAGCTTCAAACACAAGGAGAATGCATTTAGGGTATTACTTGGTATTTGGTTTGCCAACCACTGGATGTCAGTGCTGCTCCACTGAAGAAAGGCTCCTCCCCACTTCCTTCCCTGTGGATCAGAGAGCAGAGGCTCCTGATTTTTGTTGCTCAAATAACTGAACAATGTTGGAATTTCTTGGAAAAATTGCCAGAGTTGATTAATGCATAGTTTCATATATATCTAAAAAAACCTGCTATGTTTCAAACCTCTAATTCTCAATGCAAGACCAGAGACAAGATTGTGCGTACGAGTTACTGCAGTCTGCTGGAGTTTATGGGCTTGATGAGTCAGTCTGTGGACTGTCCAATAAGTGAAATAAAGCCTCTGGAAAAAACTAAAAGTATGATCTTACTAGAGGTGTAAATGTAGTGCTTTTATGGCTTGCAAATAGCACATTTAGCAACACATGATTTTTCAAGTTCAAAAAGTAAAACGTGCTGACAGATTTGAGGAGATTAAGTTGGATATGTAGCAAAAAGCCTGTCTAGACCTCTGGTTTTATGTTTTAAAAATGTATTAAATACAGATCAAAAAAATGCTTATAAATTGCTCACAGATGTGTTGTTCAATTCAGTCTTTTGTAATAGGTTTGGCTTTTTTAAATTACGTTACGTTACTTACTGTCTTTCACTCTTATGCTCTTCACCATTTTGTTCCTAAAAACGACTCGCCTACACTAGAGGAAGTGGGTGAAATAAGCAGGCAAAAGGTTTGGGGTTTTTTGCAGTGTTTGCTTTGTTTCTTTTGTTGAAGGAAGTCTGAAATGTTGTGGCTGGCTGTCTTTTTCATTGGAGGGCAAAAAAGTTTCCTAGCTAAACTTCTGAAGGCGAAGGTCAGCGGCACGGTGCAACCTGCATCAGATAGTGCCTTCTCCTTTGAGGCAAAAGGTACTATTATTTTCCACTAACTTTTACATGGAGCTCTTGAATGGCATTCAGCTGGCATGCTGATTTTGAATGTATAACATCCGTTTTCCTCCATTTTAACATAACTGTATCACCAAAATTAATCCAGGTGAATATATGTGTAAAGCAACCAGTTCTGTTACTAATCTGTTATTAAACACATGATGGAGAATGTTTCTTTTACACAGCCGACTTAACGCACCTAGGTAGCATATCCATTTTATCTCTGCAAATAGCTAAATAAGTTGTCGACAGCTTAAATGCTTGTGCTACAAATGGAAGTATGGCAATCTGTAATCAACTGAAATCTTTTGAAGAGGGATCTGTGGAAGGAAGGCATCAGTGGCCTGAACCGTGCCTTTTAAACAGTCAGTGTAGCACTTGTATATTGGTAGCTTATACATATGATGAGCTGTGACTACTTCAGACATAAAAACAATTGAGCTGGAGGATTTTAGTCAGTAAACCGTACTTGTAGAGATCGTGCTGGTTCAGAGGTTGCTTACAGCATGCCTGATTAAGAGAAGAAATGCCTTACTAGATTGGACTTAGTTATAGACTGTTTTGATTCTGTAATTTTCTTTTCCCACAGGACCCAGATAAATAGTATGTTTCTATCAATTTCTTTTTTTTTTTTTCTGGTGGGTGAGAAATATATATTGATGCTGTTCCCTGACAATAAGTGAAATATGTCCTTCTTCACCAAGAAATGCTCTTTAAATACCTATAGATCCGTTATGTGAGTTCTTTCCGCGTTTAACTTAATTTAGTTTCAGAAACTCTGGTGACTTCTGATAAGGTAACTTCTTTTCACAGACAGGAATGTTTCTGTGCATTTAAGCTTTTTATTGTATACAGAAGAATATAACTGTGGAAGTCTGTGCATCCATAAATTTTAAAGTTTCTATTTGTCAAGAATAATTTCTTAATATATGATAGTTGTCTTGAAAAGTCAGATTCCCTCTAGCAGAGACTTTACTTGCTGAAAGCTGAAAAAAGCAAGTCTTTTGCCCATTGAAATCAAAAGTACTATGTCTCTGGGTTTGGTGGTAGGAATTGTATTCTTATAGTTGGAAAAGGGGCTAGTAATCAGGTAGGGAAACTTCCAGGTAAGGAAATAACCTTAATTAGGGAGACTGTGGACACTCTTATTTAGGGGTGCAGTTGGGGAAATGGACATTACAATTGCAAATGAAATGGGTTGTTGACAAATGTGATTAATAAATATTGGAAAGTGTGGACTGAATTACTTGTATCGCTTGTTTCTAAATCATCTGTAATACCTCAGGGAGAAAGACCTGAGTTCAGGTCCACAGTGAAATTGAAATGCAGAATGTTTTAAGTGGATACAGAAGTGCTTTTCATGGCATGCCAAGCTGGAACCCTGAATGGGTTTGGTGACCTTTTTTTTTTTTTTTTTTTTTTTAGCTACATTTGTTATACCTGGAAGTTTAACCATGAATAATAAACAGTAATGATCACATCTTGTCTGCCACGGGATTACATTTTTCCCCCAAGCAACTATGCTTTTCTGACAGTTTTGGGAAATTGAGATAGTTTTATGCAGAACAGCTGACATGAGCATTTCGCATGCTGCTGCTGTACTTCTAGCAAGTTTACTTACTATGTTTAAATCTATTTTATTGTGAAAGGGCAGAAATGAATGACTTTTGCCTTGTCACAACAATGTTTGTAACTTTGCCTAATCATGCAGATTCTGCAGCGGACTCTATAAAGCCAACAGAAACACTTCATAGACAGCCCTTCTACTGGGTAGATTTGATTTAAAGATTTAAAGAGGCTTAGAAAAAAACAGCACTATCTTACTGCGTGTTACGCAGTAGGTGAGCCAAACGCAGAGTCTGTCCTAAATCGTGGTATCTGATGGTTTGAAGAAGACTCCCATCTTGGCAGCCACGGTTTTGGGCTTTTCTTCCACTGTTCTCCACTGGCCACGCAAGCAGCAAGGTGGTGGTGGTGGTGGTGGTGGTAGGGATTAATATCGGCGAGGTCCCTGCAATGCCATCCACCTACACAAGAGGAAGCATGGAGCTGTTGAGGCAGCAGTCGTCGTTCGCCAGCTACGTCCTCTCTCTCTCGGGAGAAAAAAAGGCTCACTGGCTGGAAGCAAGCTGCTCTTTGGGCCTCGTACCTCTGTGATGCACTTAAGTTATATTACCTTTTGTATCCTGTTTCTCTTTAATCTAAAGGATAGCCATCAGTGAAGATCTCATTTGCACAAAGGTGATGTTAAGCAGTTCTGTAAATAATAATGTGAAAACTAATAAAATCAAATCTTTTTACAGATGCAAATACTGGCATTATGATGATAACCTGCTCACCTCCAGCGTTGTCATTGTCTTCCATAATGAAGGATGGTCCACACTTATGAGGACAGTCCACAGTGTCATTAAGAGAACACCAAGGAAATACTTGGCAGAAATTGTGCTGATTGATGATTTTAGCAACAAAGGTATATTTGGAATACTAACACACTACTTGTAGAAAAGGGAATCTCATTTGTTTTAAAAATAGTTTTCTTTTGATTTATTACCTGCCATGGATTGAGTTGACTGCAAGAAAAGTAAGTTGCTTCTTCACAGTTCCTTCAGTTTTCAGTGAAGGGAAAGCTCTTTTCTGATGAACTGGTTTCATAAAGGTGGCAATCCTTTATGTGTATTCAGCTGTTTGAAATACAGGATTTGTGGTGGGCACTCTTCCGTAGTTGTGGAGTTGTATATAGTAGAAAGCTAGGATAACTAGTACCTCTCTTAGTCCCTGTGAAAACAAGTAGTTTTACGAGTATTGAAGGAGTTTGAGTTAATCCTGTTAGGAATAATTTCTTTCTTTATTCCATGTAGAAATCCAGATTCCTTTTTTTTTTTAATACTATAATAAAAATGTATCTAAGGCTATTGAATTATTCTGATTCATTTTCACTATCTTTTTAATTTTTAAGATCCTTTTTTTGTTGAATATCATGTTGAGGTGGTTATTGTTTCTTATTGGGGGGAGGGATTTTTAAGAATTTAAGTGTGTTTTAATTTCTGCCTTTCTTTGAGTCCTGCATATCACTCTTTTCAGAAGTCCAGAGGTTTTCCTCTTCCTTTGTAATATATGTTGTGGTCTTGGTTTATAGTCATGATGTATGAACTTATGTGTGATTCTTATAAACATACACTGACTTTTTTCCGTTAATGGTGGTATCTTCAGTGTTAATGCAAATCAAGGCTGAATACAGAGAAGAACTGGAAGTGGTATGCTAGAGATATAAGATATTTATGTAGAGGAAATGGGTCTGGTTTTAAACTTTAAACAAATTTCAAAATAGTGCACCAAAACTGCATGTTCTGCAAGATTTTATTGCAGCATAGCTCTTGAATAGAAGTTGATAGAGAAAAAGAGTAGACGCATAAATAAAAACATAACTTTGAGTGTGCGGGATGACAGTCTCTTCTAGACAACGATGATGATGGCTTTTAAGAGCCTGGGCAAGTTTGAACTGGTCAGCAGCATAGGATACATTCCCTTTACCCTCCTCTTTGTTTTTATAATAGCTGAATTGGGTAGTGGCACAGAAAGCAGATGACTCTGTTCTGAAACTTTGCGCTTTATCAAGTGATCTGGGCTTCTCCCAGTTCCAGCCTCACAGGAGGAGTTGTTTTCTGCAGGTATACCCACTATAAATTTTAAAATTGAACTCATTACATAGTCAGGGTTGCCTTTCTTGAGTTTAAATCACTAGTAAAAATTAACATACAATAGTTATTTTTAAATCATACCTGTAGGTAGGTAGGTATCATTTTCTGTTTGTTTCTACAGGAGAGGAAAAGTTACATGTATTGTAAACTTGACTACATCTGGCTTAGTCTAATAAAGATACTGAACACTACATTATAGTCTCCTGTATCCTTTTACAGCTTTTGAGAATTTGGCTTAGATATACACACACGCTGTAAAACAAAAATATCTTCTCTCCTAAGGGATATAATTTTAATAATTCAGTCAGCAGACATGTGCTGTGTTTTTCCTTTTCAGCTGGGATCACAGCTTTCCTTCAGAGCTGTTCAAGGATTGAATTAGCTGTATAAAGTAACTACGATACTGATGGTCTCAAGAAAAACTACCAGATTTTTTACTAATGATCGGACTCAGTACTTGGATTTCACATGAGTTGTAGCTGACTCTGTGCTATGCGTATGTAATTCATGGAATGAATTTGTCTGGCATAACAACTGGTGCTACGGTTTTCCAATATATGACAATTAAATAAAGGCAGTATTTTTCAAGAAATTTGTTTTAAAATACAGAACTTTACTTATGCTCTCTGCTCATATATGAATGGTTAGCAGATACAGCTAGCCTGGACCTAACATCGAGCAGACCCTTGTCTCTATATTTCCCACACTTCATTTTCCCAAATAACTTTCTTGAATCAGAAAATTCAGTAAAGCAGGCTCAAGATGCAATTTTCTCATGTATGAGTGACTGGAAAACAAGCATGGACTGGAATGGCTCCGAACACCTTGCTGCAACTGTACTGTTTCACTATAATCATTCTTCAAACTGCTTTAGGCTATTACTTGGTAAACATAATTAACTTAATTTCAATAACTCAAATTGCATTCTAGATGAAAAATGGCTGAGAGAGTAGAACCTTGCTCCACTTCTTTCTCCGCAGAGAGAAGCATAAACTAGTACAGGCTGTGGAGGGTGCCAAGCCGCTTGAAGAGATCTCTGGTTGTTAGGAGAGCTGCAAAACACAAACACTCTTAATCATAGCAGAGCTGCTGGTGGCTTTTTGCTTTTTCAGCCAAAAGAAAAGCAGTGCGGACGCACAGATACAGAATTTTCTCCTTCCCCACCTGCTTTCAGACTGCACACTTTGTATCTGCCTTTCCACCCTGCACAGAGCGTCTTACGCTCTTTGAGACCCATGCTGAGGGACACAGGTGCTGGACTGGGTAGATGTTTGCTCACACTCAATGTGGCTGTCCTTGTTTCTTAGCTGCCGCCTTCTCCAGCGGTATGAAATTAAAATGGAGCCTAGCGGTTGCAAACACTTCTAAATGCTGGCTCATAAAGAGCCCTGCCTGTCCTTCTTTACGAGAAATCCTCTTTCATCAGGAGGGAGTTACAGCTGCATAGAAGCTTATGTACATTATGCCTTACAGGGAGGAACAGTTGCAATGTTTGGAAAATGTTCTTTTCATTATAATTCTTGGTGTAATACAAAGTCAATTGGGAGCAGTCATTTTGCTGAACAACACTCTCCTTTCCTTCCTTAATCTCTTCTGCAAACAGCAGGGTTTGACTGTGGAGAACCGGGCGGAGAGATGTGCTGAATTCTGCTCAGGCATTTTTTTCTTTTGTCAAAGCAGAAAGGGAACAGAAACAAGAAGATGATGCCAAGCTAACTGATTGATGCTAGTTCTGATATTTTCAGTGGAGACCTCTCTATTAATGCATGTTAGAGTCCAAGAAGTGTTGCAGCAGCTTCTACCACAGTGTCAGTGTGGGCACGCTGCTGCACATGGGGGTTTTTTCCCCGGTTTTTCTTGTGTTTCTTGATAGAAACAGTTTATTTTGCTGTGAGTGCTACCTGTATGGAGGATACAGCTGTTCTGGAAGGTCAACGAGCATTCATAACACTGGATTTTCTGAAGCTCCCTACGATTACAGTAGTGTATATAGGTCTTCAACGACTACTTGTTATGTATTTAGGTGTCAGCTTTATTTCTTTCTGAAACAGAGGTGAGTATCTCAGCTGGTGCAGCTCACTTTTGTAGCCCATGCACCTGTAAATTTACCTGACTACAAGGTGAATACCAGTGTTCACAGTAGCGTGTAAAGGCTTTGTCTACCTTTTGCATTTACTTATTTTTTCTTTATCGCTATGTATGTTTCCCACTGATGGAGCATCCCATAAGATAACCAGAGGGGAAGTAATGAGCATAGACAGGTAACAGTATTCTTAGTAACTCGTTTAACTGTGCTCGCAGGGGGGAAACTGGAGCATTAATCAGTGCCTGTGTTAGAGCAGAGAGCCCCATGTTAGTAGTGTTACAGTACAGGGGACTCAGGAGGCAGCTGCTTTAGGGAGGACTTGTGATATCATTTTTCTAGTTCTCAAACTGACATCCATGAGTCGAGGAAAAAAAACAGCTTTCCTCCTTCCCCCCCCATAGTCTGCAATGCCTAAGGTCTTTTGGAGAAGGGATGTGTTTTTCAAAAACATTGATTCATGCACTGAGATATGAGAGAAGAACCCAAAGAAGGGAAGACCAGATTGGTGGTTATAATATTTTTGAAGGGTAAAATACACATTTTTGAACAAAAACCAGAGTGCTGTAAGGCTGTTGACAGATACCATAAATACACGTTATAGGTGAACAAAATGTAATGCTGGCCAAGGAGTATTTCTAACTGTAAAAGTATCAGGATTTTATACACTACTGTCATGCATTCTTTGTAGTATGGGAAGGGGAGAAAATGCAGTTTTCCTGTGGGAAATAGCACTTGCTGCTAACCCTGGCACGGTTTCAGATAATGGACTGCAAAGTCCTGAGACTTGTACTGTAGAAAAGCTTTACACAATCAATATGACAGGTTTTTACAGCTCCCCGTGAGCCTTACATAGTTGAACATTTGATAACTAAAACATTCGGCTTCATAGGCAGGAGATCTGGAAATAACTTCAGGTTTTAAATCTTTAAAACATTCCTGACAGTCCTTTTGTAACATGTACTTGGAATTTGCAGAGTACATAATGGTGTGGTATAAAGATTCTCTTAGTACCACTTCAGTATGGCCTCATAACTCTGTTGATTTTATCCTATAAAAATTTATGTCACAGCTATCATATCATATATTCTATATATATTACATGGCATGTTATTCTATATAGCATATGTGATAAAATTGTTCTTTCTCTAGTTTGATATTTATGTATCGTTGAAGTTTTCCTAACACACAAGGATTTACAAAAGAAATTGTAAATGTGTGTGGGAAAGGAGAAAAGGATACGTAAAACTTTTAGTTGAGAAAACTTACTCTTTTATGGAGGTGAAGAGGAGGGATAATAAAAGTATGAAAAGATAGTGGTTTCAGAAGATTGTTCTTTGATAGAATTGCTGAATTTTCAAGTTTGGAAACTTCACTTCCAAAAAACACCATTTCAATTATTTATATGTAGCTTTTATTTAAACTAGAACGTTTTAAATACTTTTGGCAAGAATATAAAACATACTGAAACGTAAGTTGCAGCAAGCTCCAGACGTCAATCATTTTCATTCAGGGTGCGGAAAATGTTGTTGCTGAAGCAACCTGATGGCTTTTTGCTGCTGGAAGGGGCGTCCTTCTCCTTGCACCTCTGCACGTCCCCTCTCCTGTTAGATCAGCACAGGCATGGCATGTAGCTGCCCCTCGGAGCTGGTGCAAACCAGCGCATGGATGCCTCAGCTTATTTTGTTTCCTGACTGGGAGAAACTGAAGCTGTAGGCAGTTTTTTCAAGCCTTTCAGTACAAAAATAGATTTTAAATGAACACCAGTAGTTAAATCAGCGTAGCCTCAAACAGCAAGCGCCTGACTGCCAGCCCTTCTGCCTTTGTGAGTTTTCTCAACAGAATCATCTGTGCAAAAATATTATGCAACACTAGGATCCTCTTTTCAAACTATGTGGTAGGAATGTGATTTCCAGATTAGTTTGGCAAAGACCAAATCTGTAACCATTTAAGCGTAGCCCATCTTGATTCTTATGCGGTTACTCATCCCTTTACTGACCGAATCCCTCTGGCTAAAGTTTCCCTGTCTGTTTTCATTTTGTAGGGTCTGTAACGTGCTCATCACTATGATGAGCCACAGCTCGTTCACTGCAGTTCTGGCCCTCCAATTACTCTTCTTATTAATTCCATTAGAAGATTAGCATAAGACCACCCCATCTCCAAGAGGGAACAGGTCTAGATGAGGGAGGAGAATAATTTGAGTATGGTGGGTTTCTGTCTCAAGTTTCCAGATTTAATAGACTGACACAAAAAATTGTGAGGCAGAAAGAACGTGAGTGAAGAGCAATGTTTAACTGAAAAGTGGTGCCTTCAGCTGTACGTGTGACATTATCTGATGAGGAAAGACCTTACACTGAAGTGTAGAAACTTCTCTGCCTGGTTGAAATACGGGCCAAGACCTGAGAGCCACTGTGTGATATGTTGAAATGACTGGGAATTGGCCACCCAGCTCCTCTGGGTGGTGTGGCCAACCGCTTCAGCTGCTTTTTCCTCAGATGTGCCCGAGACAAACCTGAGGCATGAAGTCAGAGTGCTCCACGACTTGGTCTCCTCAGGTTTAGTGTTTGTGAGCGGTAGTACGAGCAGTTGAACTAGAGAGTCTCGTAGTCCTAAATGTCTGTAGATTTGGGTTGTATTAAGAGTACAAAACTGTTTATTACTAAACCCCGCCAAAATAATTTTTTTTCTTTGTTATTTGATAGCACACTTAAAAGAGAGGCTGGATGACTATATTAAGCAGTGGAATGGCCTTGTAAAGCTATTTCGAAATGAGAGGAGAGAAGGTTTAATCCAAGCTAGGAGCATTGGAGCCCAGAAGGCTAAACTTGGACAGGTAGGAGCCACTTCACACACAAGTCTGTCTTTTTTTTTCTTTTTTGGGGGGAGAGGTGGTGGTGGTGGTTCTATGCTCAAGTAGACATGTAGAAATGTACTATTATATTATCGCTACTGTTGTAAAAAGAGATTAATTTTACTCGTTTCAGCTTCATTTTTTTCTTTATAGTATGAAAGTATTTCAGTGTAAATAAGCTTAATTAAATTATCGTGATCTCCTATACAGAAATATAAATTACTTTACTTTTTCTTTTCTTTTGAAGGTTTTGGTTTACCTTGATGCCCATTGTGAGGTGGGAATTAATTGGTATGCGCCACTTATAGCTCCTATATCTAAGGACAGGTAATGTTCTCCCGTTATTTCCAGTGTCTGCCCTCTAGGAAGACAAAGTCACAGTAGCAATCTTCACTTTTCAAACTATAGTCAATATATTTTGTATCTATATATCTATATCAAACTCTATCAATATTTGCTGTGTGATGATTTTTTTGTCTCCCAGCATAAAAGCTATGTAAGGAGGAAGTAAAATAGTCAGGGAAATAAATCTCTGAATAGTTTATTTTAATAGGCATACTGAATATTTCGCTTAGTATAGATTAAATGTAAGACAACTCTTGTCTTTTGCAACGATCTGAGGGACTGTTACAAGAACGTTCTGTTCTGGATGAATAAGGAGCCTGATTAAACAAAATAACTAAACAAAAACGTGATTTTTGGTGGAGGAAAAGTAGCAGTAGGTGTTTTGATTTAATGGGGATTTAAAGCCCCTGTGATGTCCAGAGTTTTACAACTTGCTCATCTTTGGTCTTGCAATATGGTCTTACTTGTTTCCTCTGAAGCGCTTTGGAGCGCTGCCTCTAGCGAACCGAGGCCAGGGCTTGAGCCGGTCTCTGCCGCAAGCCCAGGCGCTTGGAAGGAGTCAGTGGTGGAAATGCCTGCGCTGCGAGCGTGGGATCTGCGAGAGGTGACGGAGGCGGGAGGTCCCCAGGGGCTTCATTTCTCCCAGCTGTTGAAATGCTGTTGTTGCTACCGTGCTCCTAGCTTGTGTGGTCAGGGGGTATGTGTGTTTAGGAAACCATGTGCTTGTTTAAACTCTTTAATCCCATAAAATAACTGCTTAATCCTAAAAACTATTTTGTTAACCTGTCGTACTACCAGAACTTTCTTGAAGAGGTGGGTTTTGTGTGTGTTTCAAAGGCTGTAACTCAGCTTCGAGGCTAAGTACATTTGGGCCAGGATACTAGATGGAAGGTGGAAATGCTTGTGTGCTTCCACCGAGTATGTGTTACTCTCTTACAGGAGAAAGGCAGGTGAGAACAGGCGGCTTTAGAGGCATCCTCCAGGGCCGCCCGCAGAGGCGGGGGTTATGGGAGGACCAGGGGTGCTGAGGCCGCGGTGCCGGAGGGCGGCACGCCTTCTTCCAAGCCCTGGTCCCCTGCGTGCAGCGTGCTGCCGCTTCTGCCTCAAAGAAGAGCACAGCGTTAGCGTTTCTTCCCCACCACCACCACTTGTTTTTCTGTTTCGTAGAGTTTGACTTTAAAAGGTGGAAGTGCTCCAAGTTTGGTCACCGTGAGACTCATTTGGAAAATTTGGGGAGAATAACAAGATAATGTCTTTTCCTTGGTGAATATTCTATATGATAGATCACAAGAGATAGAGGAGCATATTGCAAATCAGAAAGGAAAAATTCTACTGAAGACTGCTGCTAGGAGCACCAGTAACCTTTTTTTTTTTCTCCTGAGAGGTTGGATTTGCAGGGCAGTTGAATAGGACAGAATAGTGAAAATCCATGTTTACACTAGGAAAAGCTAAGAGCTTATCATACTTGTTGACAGCTAAGATCTGATATGAATAGAAACTATGGGAAATAATAATACTGTGACAACCCTAGCCCTCTAAAGGTCCTGTTTCCTCCAGCAGTGCCTTATTAGAAGACCGATGTCAAGAAATAAATGTAAAGGAAAAAGTATTGATAAATGAATTGATATGTTAGCATTTCAGACCTAACTTTTCTGCTTTCTGAACCTCTTAAAACGCCATAAAGAAAGGGCTGTCCCTTTTTTCTTCTACTGAGGCTTCGTTTTTTAATATGTTTACAAGTGACTTTTCATATAAACTGCTTTATAAGATTAATGATTAATGGTGTAAATTTCAGATTAGACAGATTACTCTTCTGAAATTGTATTTTGCTCTTTCTTTCCCTTCTGCAAATGTTTCAGAACTACATGTACTGTACCTCTAATAGATTACATAGATGGGAATGATTATTCCATTGAGCCACAACAAGGTGGGGATGAAGATGGTTTTGCCAGAGGGGCCTGGGACTGGAGTTTGCTATGGAAACGAATTCCGTTAAGCCACAAGGAAAAGTCCAAACGAAAACATAAAACTGAGCCTTATCGGTAAAGAGAGCTGTTTACATACTGTGAATCGTGATGAATAATTGTCTAAACGCTTTTGTTTTTCCCCCCTCCCCCCTCTTTTCCCACGAACTACGGTCGGTGCACGTGTGCCACGCGGGTCCTTGCACATAACCGCATCTTCCCTGCCACCATCCGCCACCCTGCAGAACCACATGCACTGTGCCGCTTATAGATGTCATAGATGGCAACACTTATAAGATTGTGCCGCAAGGGGGTGGTGACGAAGATGGGTTTGCTAGAGGAGCGTGGGATTGGAGTATGCTATGGAAGAGGGTTCCCTTGACCAAGCGAGAGAAGGAAAGCAGAAAGACAAAAACTGAGCCGTATCGGTAATCACTAAATCACTTACCCGTTTCTTTTTTTCTGAAGTCGATATTGATCCACTAAAACTTGCATGTAATTCTAGCCGGAAAATCTTCATATTTCTAACCGCACCAACTGCTTTGTTTAATTAGACCTGTTTGCCACAACTGACTATGTGCTCAAAATACCCTTGCTACCTTGTGCTGCCTCTCCATTCCTGCATAACAGGGTGCACATTAGAATGACAGGGTTTTGTTTGGCAAAATAAAACATTGTGTGACTTTGTTTCCAGGGAAAACTTTATTTAGCTATGATACTTTTTTAAAAGTAGTGTTGGAAACAACAGTGCTTATTTAATCATTTGATTTGAAATAACGAGCATGCTGTGAGTATTTATAATAGCCGGTAATGCATAGTCTGTAGCCTGCTCTCATGGCTTGATGCATGCATACAGCTCGTGGATTATGCATGTGCATCAAAAAAATCCCTTTTGTCATATTTCTCCCACTTGCTTCATAATAGATCACATCTGACAAAGAAGCATACTATTTAAGAATCTTGGCTAGATATTTTCTAAGGTCTCAGTATATGTGGGGGTTTCAATTTAATACACATAACAAAAAAAAAAATTAAAAAAAAAAAAAAAAAAAAAAAAAAAACCAACACCTTATTTTCTGGGAAAACTCCAATAACTTTCACAGAAGTCCCACCTTTTTCTTCTGCTTTGCAGGGGGGTATGTTTTCTTCCCAGCAAACAAACTGGCTAGAAACCCTAGCTTAGAAACTAGGGTTTCTGGATGGCTTTTCAAGACTGGGAGACTGTGGTTCTGCTGTTTTATATTACTTTCCCCTTCACACTTAACTGATCGTGTTACTACATTTGAAAGCAATCCTCACATCTTCAGAATCTAATGTCTTCTATTGCTTGTATATATGATTTAAACATTGTAAGAACTGATGTTGGTAATTCCCTATCCTCACCCGTGATTGTTCTCTGCTAAAATGGCAACACATGCAAGGAAGTTATGAAGCTTTGATCTGTTTTGTATACAGTATAAATAATACCGTTTTCTGACAAGGCTGTCCACATTGGAACTTTAATATTTGCTTAGAGGGGGATAAACTATTTCAAACATCACTGTTGTGCTCTGTGTTTACCATCCAAACAGGTCTTAAAATCCTTTAAACTGTTCCCAGAAACACAGAACACATGTTCTCAGAACGTTTAAAAGATTACTTTATTTTTAATAATACTTTCAGAGTTACAATGTTTCTTCTAAAAAGAGACATTCCCTGCATCTGTTCATTTCCAGGCTGTATGCATTTTGTTGCAGCAATACCAAAGCAAGTAAGCCCAAGTAAAAGTGCTGAAACTGTAGCCAGGATTGCCTAGTTTAAAAAGAAAACAAACAAAGAAACAAACCTCAACAGCTTAAAGCGCAGAAACAAACTTTTTGTAATGTGAGAATTGCCTCAGGACTGAACCCTTCTTTCAGAAGTATTATGCTTACGTCTTCATATCCTATAAAATAAACTACTGACGTTATGCGGATTTTACTGTGTTCTTTAACACACTTGATAGCTCGTTGGAGGCCAAGACTGAAACTTCAGCATCTGAGGCCTCTACACTTGCTGCGTCTTTATGGTGCTGAGGAAAACCAAAAATGCAGGAAAGCCACAGGGCTGTACTTCGCAGCCTTCTCCCGCTGTGCTCGCTGGCTTCCTACCCTTTGAACCCCTGCAATGCCACAGCAGTGCTGGAGGAAAATGCAGTAAGCAAAGTAGAAGGGGACATTTAGGAGTAACTCAGCATCTGATCAGGTGGTTTGGAGAGCAACTAAACTGATAACCATTATGTTTAACTCAGCTGATAGGCCCAGCAGCTCTGGTTTTGTTGTTGCCCTGCCCCCGTTATGCCGGGGGGGTATATGCTAACCCTGTGGGTTATTTGTTCGTAAGCAGTTCTCCTCCAGACGTTTACATGCAGAAGGGAAATACATAATCTTTGCTGGTAAAATGAGCACCACTAAGTTAAAAATCTACTGGAATGAAGAGACTGAATAGTGCTAGAAATGACCCATCTCTCAATATTTTGGTCATGAAGGAATATTTCACTTATGTTTTACTTGGCTCACCAGAGTGATCTGGACTCTTGGATCCTCCTCCTTTCAGTGCTGCAGATTACCTGAAGTCAGAAAGAATTCACTTTTTCCGTACCAGCTTTTTTTTTAAATTGCCAGCTTAGTGGGGACTCCAGCTTTTATCCATTAGGATTTCTATATATTTATTGATCCTCAGGTGAAATATGCTTGGTATGTGTGCTGGAAATGGCTTACCATATCCTACTCTCTACTTCAGTGTGAGCAAGCAACCAAAGAATTTTGGTTAGAGCCATTCTGCAAAAGTGCTCTAATCCAAACCACAATGCCTTTTTGACACATTAAAACTTGCTAATTGAACCCTGGCATACACGGAGGGATTTACTAAGCCATTTAAAAAAAAAAAAAAAACAAAACTAAACCAAAATGGAAACCTTGTACAACTTGATCCAGGCCCTCCTAAAAATTTCACTGAGGAAATGAGAAGTGTCTCATATGGCAGTGGTAGAAAAAGAGCCAGAGGGAGGAGATAGAAAGGTATCGTTTAGCCAGAAAAACTGGGTTGCTTGTGTAATAGTCAGTAAGTTTCAATGTGGCAGCTCCTCAGAGCATAAGCTTTAAGTCTGCTATACAGTCTCATATGTTATCTCAGAAACCTGAACAACTTTCAAGAGAGAAATGTCTTGCCACAGTGCTTCTTACCTTTTTTATTTTAATAGAAGCACACTGGCTGGCTGAATGGATAATTCCAACCACAATTTTGTATAATTAAAAAAAAAAAAAAATCTGTGACTTCACTAGAAATTGTACAGATGTCATTTCAGAAAATCAGTGGAAGCTGATGACAAAGCTTTATGATTTTTCAGTGTATTGCCATTTATCTAATCTTAATTATATGTTAACAGTGAATTGCTTCCTTAATCAATGCTTTCTCCAAGTGTTATCCTTTTGGCAGAAGGAGTTACACTGTCTTCCTCTTTCAGGTCCCCTGCAATGGCTGGTGGATTGTTTGCCATTGAACGTGATTTCTTCTTTGAACTGGGTCTCTATGATCCAGGTCTTCAAATTTGGGGTGGTGAAAATTTTGAAATTTCTTACAAGGTAACACCAAAAATTGAAAACTAATTCAGTTTAGTACGTATTTTTTCTGTATATACTTCTGTTTGGAGTTCAGACAGACCCACCTCTGATTTGCACCACCTCTGTTTCATGAAGCCTGGTAGGTTTTGTTGCGAGGAGATGTTGTGGCAGACCTGCGTCCTCAATGTTTCCTTGCGGGCTTTGGGGCAGAAGTGTTCAGAGAGGTGGCCTAGTGCTGAGACCCGAATGCTGAGTAATCTAGATTTTTTTAATGGTTTGGAATCACACGCAACCCTAAATACCTAATCTGAAACCAGACTGGCAAATTCTATGGGTGGGAGCTGAGTGCTCTCATGGTGAGTATAGAAAAACTCACCATGTTGTTTCTAATGGAAGTGATTATAGAGAACAAGTAGCACTCTGTTTATGTATGGATGCGTGTAAAGTATACAATGATGCAACAAAAAGTAATCTGCTCTGGTTTCCTCCTCCCTGCCATTTTTATGGGTGAAAAATTATCTCATATACTTTTCAAAATTTCAAGAACTACTTTACAAGAGGAGTCTTCATAATTGAAACGCTAACTGCATAATTCATAATCACTGCAGAAGGTTTTATTTTCACTACTAGGCATATACATGCTCTTCAGTTAGCAGGAAATGTAAGATGATAATCATTAGCTTCTAGTAGCTTCAGTATTCATAATGACACAAGTGGCAAACAGCAGGAGCAAACAAAAGTGGAGACATCTAATATCCTCAGCAGTGATCTGTGAAATCGTAGCTGAATTTTACTAAAAGTACATTCAGAGGTCCCCTATAGCTACTTTTGCTCTTCATGATTTTGAGGAAAGCTCTGAGTGCACTTGCTCAGCTGTAAATCCATATGCAAAAGATAGTTACTGAGGATGTTACACATACACGGTCTTTATCCGTTTAATTCTCTATCTTGCTTAGAGCTAAATCATGATTGAAATTACATACAGTAATTTTGTAATTGAAGTGCTGATTATGTAGAGACCTCCAAATTGGTGTCATGTAGATCACAACCAATCTTCAGAAGAACTAAGTAACATTTATCAGTCTTGCATGCTGAGTCCTAGATAGCAAATATAATGGCCTTGCATATCTGAGGGGGTTTTTTGATGAAACTTAAGAAAATTAATATGATGATGCAATGAAGGAAGTAAACTATTCTGCCCATCTTTCCTAATACTGTTAAGTCATATTTTTAATCTGGAATTCGGACTAATTTGGAACATCCCCAAAGTTAGCTTGAATTTGGATTTGATGCTACATTTCAAACTTATCAAAACTATGAGCAACTAAATTCAGATTTAGGTATGTTTTCTTTTCCCCATACACGGATTATCCAAGGACATGTGGGAAGGAATTTCAGAATGGTAATATGTTTTACCCATTTTTTATTTTCGGCTACTATCGTTAAAGAAAAATGTTTGTACTTGGAACAATGGGTTACCAAAGACATCCTTATCTCCTACTAGTCTTTATTAAGAAAAACTTAAATGTGATGGGTATCTAACCAAAACCCATCTTAGTGATGGTATGTGAATTGCTTTAATAAAATTAAAATGTTATTAATTCTGTCATAATAGAAATAACCCAGTTCCATATTTTGTGCACTCATTCATTACTGTTCTTTTAAAATAGCAATGGAATGAGATGGCAAACTTTTGTAAAAGGTTTTTTAAAAAGTAATTTAGTTGAGTAATTTTATGGCTGAGTTGAAGATGTACTCAATACAGCCTTTCATTTCAGACACCTATTACGTTTATGCTTACGTCTGAAGTGAAAATATTTAAATATATCACACAGTTGGTATAGTAAAAAAAGTAGTTGACATTTCTTCCATAATTTATTATCTATTTGTCCATCTTAAATTCCTGTGCTTGTATATTAATATCTCCACCTTTGCTTTAACTTTCAGATCTGGCAGTGTGGGGGAAAACTGTTGTTTGTTCCCTGTTCTCGTGTTGGACACATCTATCGTCTCCAGGGTTGGCAAGGAAATCCACCCCCTGTGTACGTTGGGTCTTCTCCTACATTAAAGGTACTGTTTTGCTGCAACCGTGAAGGTGGTTTTTGATTTTAAATAACAATAGTTTTAGATAAATCTATTTAAATTATCAATAGCAATTTAGAGAGCACTTCATCCAAAGCTACTTAGTGTCTAAAGCTAAGATGGTCATCCCCACAGGAGGGAAATCTTTGTGCCAATCCCACTGTTATTAAGAGTAGAGATTCCTGGAACCCACGTTGTGCACTGCCCCTCCCCATCTTTGAGGTACAAATCGCATTTCCTACTACTTACTCGCGGCACCCCAAGCCTTTGCTGCGCTGTGCCCAGCTGAAGTATGAACAACTCTAGTAACTACAGCACACTCATGGAGACTATGATCATGGGTTTGAAATCCCCCTTTGGCTTGATGGGGTGTGATCCTAGGCTGAGTTAGCGAATGCAGTCATCTAGCATCTCTCAGACCTTTGTGGCTGCATTTGTTAATTAAGAAGCAGTGAATGACACCTGGGAAAATGGCATGCTCTGCGCTTCATCGTAAAGGTTGGTAACTCCTCAGGCACCTTGCAGGTTCAGAAGTGTTGCTCAAGTCATGATATTAAAAGTAGACATCACCTCAAGAAAAGAGTGAGCCAGCTGTCTGTATCTGAAGGGATAACTTGAACCAAGAAAAACTGTTTCATATAAGTTTCCACCTACCAGCAGGAAGAGAGACAACCCTCCTGTTAAGGTTTCCTATTGCCTGGTTTAAGCTTCCTCTTGTGCAGTGTTTTGGCATTGGTAAATCCCATTCCCAAAGACCCAGTTCTTTGTAAATTCCAATCCCAGATCCATCTTCCTAGATGTTACCTGTGATGGCGACTACTGGTAGGGTTACAGAGCATGGCTTGAGCCAAGCTAGCAGTTGGTTCTGTTGAAAAGGGAATGTCCCAGCCTCGCTTAACGGTATAAAATGAACCTGGCACCCAAAAAAAAAAAAAAAAGTCCTCTGTTAGTAATGTGAATTGATAAACGTTTTGATCAAACAAGCACTAGGACCTGTACGAGGGAGGGTAGGGGGAAATGGGCATAGCTGGGAGTAGAGACAGAGCAATGGGAGGCAGGATAGCTCAGTGCAGGCAAGGTGTTTGTTTGCCTTGTCTGAAATTATAAAAACCATTTCACTCTTCTGAAAAGCTGATCAAAAATATTTACTGCATATCTAAACACCTTACATGAGTCTGCTCGTCTGCTTACTGAATACAACAAAACACCCCTGAGTGTTCTTTAAGTTGCTTCTCTGTACAAGGCAGGATGCAGGAATAGCTTTCTCCCTCTTCCAGGCACCCTCCTATCCCATAGTAAATGTGCTTTTTTTTATAGCTTTGTTCAATTTATGCTGGATGTGGATTAAAGTAAAACTCACAATAATTTGTGCCTTTAGTCAGATCTATTAAGACTGTTTTAACACCAGGTCATTAATGCTAGAACAATTGTACAAAGCGAGGTGTGCATCTAGAACGTGTACAGGTAATATAGAGATAAGAGCCATCAAAGAGACTGAGAAGAAAGTTGTGAGGAAGAGGCTTGTTCTCCAAACGAGCTATCCATTTTTTCCCCTTCTCCAAGCAGCAATAAACTACTTTACTTAAAATAAAATCTCCTTGGTGCGTCATAGCAGACCCGTTTAAGACTTAATTTTTTCACCCTTACTGGACTAACGCATATCATTCTCTGTATTAAAACTGTAGAAGGTGAATACAAACTCTGAATTGCGGTTCTGGTACACAGCAAATGATTGCAAAACTTTATTGCACCCATAACTGAAGAGCCTTTATTTTCAAATAAACATTCTCTAAACTTAGAAAAAGACTTCGTACTCTCATTGAGCAAGCCAGTTTATTTTGCTGGCTGCAGTCCCAAACTGTCATTTGAAAATAATATGCATGTGTCTCGTATAATCTGCTGAAGGTGACAAATTACTAGTGCTATATAATAATTTCATGCTTTTTCAGCCGCTTTTTAAGAGGAGAAGTCCTTAAACTTCTGGAATTAACATGCAGTTATGTCTGACCTGTTGTGTGTGTTTTGAGGTAGCAGCAACGTCCTTGTTTTTCACAGAACTATGTGAGAGTTGTAGAAGTGTGGTGGGACGAATACAAAGATTATTTTTATGCCAGTCGGCCGGAGACAAAAGCACTACCCTATGGAGATATATCTGAGCTGAAAAAATTCCGTGAAGATCACAACTGCAAAAGTTTTAAGTGGTTTATGGAAGAAATAGCATATGATATCACTTCATATTATCCACTACCACCTAAAAACGTGGACTGGGGAGAGGTAAGTACAGCACATAACCTGTATTTATTTTAGGAGCTTTTTTTTTAAAATTAGGAATTCAAAAGGAAGCGATTGTTACTTGACATCAATCTGAGAACAGGCTCTTTGATTACTGCTATATTAAGGTATATGATGCTAGCCAGCTATAGAGGTATAACCCTAGGAAAAAAACCTAACCTTTAAGAGGTTCGATTTTTTTGATTAGCTTTATAGTTCCTTGAAGGATTATTTTATCTCTAGCCCTCTGTTCAATTATGTCTAAAGCTCTTTTTTCCATAATTGGAATTTAGTTTTTCTTTAAAAGAAAAAAATGCAAATCTGTGTGTGTAGGAGTATTGGCAAAGATGAATAGGTAAAATCTTCTTCTGCGAAGGCCTAGAGAATAGATCATGAAATCCAGGTGGAGTACATTCTGCCTACGTTTGCTAGCTTGTGATGTACTCATACAGTTACAGCCTCAGTAAATCCCTTATCTGCATGTGATAATTTGATACGATTCTGCAACAGTCATCTCCAGCATTAATGTATAAGAGTAAGATTGTGTTAAATTAAGATGTTACGAATTTGGCATTTTCCTATGGCTGGCATTTTCCTATGGCTGACACAGCATGTTGCCGGGCAGATGGAGGACACTTCGCTGAACCCTGCCTGTTTCATTCCGGCTTTTAGCCCACACCTTGAGGAGCTCTTACTGCAGGTTTCCTGCCTGCTTTCAAATGAGTTGAGGTTTTTGTTTGGTTGGGGTTTTTTGCCTTTTTCAGCTGGTTCCAGCCTTGTCTTGTCTCTCCTATCAATTTTACTTTTTTAGATCATGGAGGCAAAATCAGAAAATTGTCTCGCTACCAGGGGAGGAGTCCTGTGTCCCATCAGATTTAACAACCTTCTTTCCCAAGATATGATGGACCCATTTCTGTAACTTGAAAAGAGCATTAGAAAGTACAGATCTATGCTATTTCCTATGGCCGAGAGTGTATCATCTCTACCTTCTCTGAGGAATTAGTGATATAAAGCATGTGCATGGTGGAAGGGGATACAAATAGTCTTGTATCTGAGGGACCAGGTGAACAATGCCACCTTTATTTCTTACCTAAAAGCTAGCACAAAGCATCAGTTACTACGTTAGCCTTAGACCTCCTTTTGAATCCACATAAAGGCTTAGGAAGGCATGTTATATATTACTATTCACTGAGGTGAAAGTATCTGAAGAGAATAAAATAGTAATGGCCACCTTGTGGGAAATCATCCCTGATAAAAGCAAATGGTTCTGGTGAAGTGACAGGAAAGTTGGAAGTTCAGAGACTTCTCTGAAGTTTTCTTAAACTCTTCTTCACTGGCTGCCAGTTATCCTACATCTGAGAAATTTTTTTCCCCACCTGTTTGTAACACCACACTAATTGCATTTCCAAACTGTCGGGAATGAAAGTGTGGGGTTCATCTTCCCTAGCGCTCTCTGGAAGTCAGGTCTAAGCTTAGTCCTCCAGACTTCCTTCTGCTGTCACAAAGAAGAAAGAGGCTCTGGCAAAGAAAATAGGTCTGGAAAGAATGTTATTTGTGCCCTAAACTCTTTGTAAAGCTGTTTGCTGGCCCTTCTGAAAAGGGAATGGGATAATCAGCAGTTCAGGCATGCTTTCTGACGGGACTTTTGTTCTTTATTCCTATGCCTGTGCCTGCCCTCATCAATTTTATCTCTTTTTTTCCGTGTAATTGCTGCTGCAGAAGATACTTCTGAGCAGCCGGGTCAGTGGGCTGTGCCTGGCTGCATTTAATAACAGCTGTGCATAACTTCTCTGCATCACGTTTCTCTCCACAAGATGAGAGCAACTTAGCTGAGCCCCTGCTTTATTTATGAAGACCTGGGAGACTGAACACGCTTCAATAGGAGATTGAATAAATTAAAATACTTGAAAGTCCTACATTTCGGTGTCATTAGTTTGGAACTGAGCTTTGCAATTCTCGCTTTATCGGTGTACTCTAACTCACGTAAGAGCCCACAAATTAGCATGGGCAGCTTGAAGCTCCATCTCCCAGAATGGTTAACATCAGTATTTAAATTTCATACACACATTTGTCTCCTACCTCCCTGGCAGATACCTGTTTCTGGTTTGAAAGATAAGTGGGAATTTTCTGAACTCCTTTGCGCTTTTTTTTTTTTTTTTTGAGACTAACTTAGAGTGCAAAACCTCTGTTCCAGATTAGAGGCTTTGAAACCGCTTACTGCATCGATAGCATGGGGCACACCAACGGTGGCTTCGTTGAGCTTGGGCCATGCCACAGAATGGGAGGAAATCAGGTAAGGAGCTTGGAGGCAAGTCTGAAGGAGAATTGCTTGCAGTGGATGATAACAGGCCAGTTTTCTGTTAAGCCTGTATGTAAAGTCATTTAAGTGCCAGCTACAAAAATGGGAGTTAGGGATTTTCCATGAGTATACTGACATTGCTAAAATACGGGAATCTGAAGATGTAATTTCAAACACAAAACGGTACAAAATTGAAGGCAAATTCATAACCTCTTCTTCAGTGAAGCAGGTACATGAGAAAGCAAGAACTGTGTTTTAAAGCAACCATATCACTGATTAGAACAACTGCAGCTCTTAGTGTTGCCACTGATTCATCATTTATCTTCACTTAATAATTAATCCTTGAGGAAACAGCCCCTTCAATTATTTCACAAAGTTGTTCTGCTGTAATGGAAGTGTAAAACACTTTTGTGCAGTAACTCATCTTCCACCACAGGAGACAAGAAATTGAATACAAATTTGTCTGTTTCATTTACAAATTAATTGGCAGAACATAATTACTAATAGATGGTTGCAATCCAAGCTGCTATCGTGTTTGACCTGTATCTTCACAAACCTACACACAGTACCACACAAATATGCTGTTCTGTATTTACATCTCCTTTTTCGGTTGGAAAACTTTTCAGCATTTAAAGTCCTTATTTATGCTGATACAGGCTTGAACCAGGCAAGTTTTGTCACGGCAGTCATGAAGTCACATGCAGGATGATACTTTTAAAAATCATATTTGGGTTAGTTCTTAGTAGTCCATAGAAATGACTCTCTTATTTTGATATTTAATGAAAAAGTTCCCTAAACTACTTTTTCTGTACGTTACTCTCGTGATTTAACCTGGCAGGCAGCCAAACACCCCGCAGCCGCTCGCTCACACACACACACACACCCCCCCCGCAGTGGGACGGGGAGAGAATCGGAAGGGTAAGAGTGAGAAAACTCGTGGGTTGAGATAAAGACAGTTTAATAGAACAGAAAAGGGAAAATAATAATGATAATGATAGAATATACAAAATGAGTGATGCACAATGCAATTGCTCACCACCCGCGCTGACCAATACCAGTTAGCGATCGGTACTTCCTGGATCACGCCTACCATTCATATACTGAGCATGACGTCACATGGTATGGAATACCCCATTGGCCAGCTGTCCCAGCTTCTCCCTCCCAGCCTCTTGTGCTGAGCATGGGAAGCTGAAAAGTCTTTGACTAGTGTAAGCACTACTTAGCAACAACTGAAAACATCAGTGTGTTACCAACATTCTTCTCATACTAAATCCAAAACACAGCACTAGGAAGAAATTGAACTCTATCCCAGCCGAAACCAGGACAGTTAACCCCCAAAACCCTGTAACAATTACTTCATAAGAAGTAGCTAGGATAATCTTTTTGTATCTGGATGCATTACTTCGATTTCCTCCATGGGTAAAATGCCAAAGTTTTACTGTCTTCACATGAAATTACTGTCCAGGACCAAGGACTCGCTACCAGACCTTCAGAAAGATAGTGGATTGTTTGGCCATCAGATCGTACAAAGGCTTTTAATCAAACACTTCAGAAGCCTCCCAAATAGGGATCCCTTTATTTTTATCATTTTTGTCTTGCTAGGTAAGTTTCTTAGCCTTCTGAATCCTACAGGAAAGTTATCCATGAAATTGAGTGTCATGATAGTAAAAGTACGTTACACCAGGTAAAATAAAGAGCCCTCCTGAAGGATAGGTGTAATAATACCAGAGAATATTTTGAATGATGCGATTTTATTGGTATTTTCAGTGTTTCTAAAATACTTGCTATTTTGAGTCAAATGTTAAAAACGTGGCTTTTTTTTTTCTGTTAGCTTTTCCGAATCAATGAAGCTAATCAACTCATGCAGTATGATCAGTGCTTAACTGAGGGACCAGATGGATCCAAAATTATGATTACACACTGTAATCAGAATGAATACAAGGATTGGCAATACTTCAAGGTATGCAACAGATATATAGCAGAAAAGAAATTACAATTTGCATCCTGGTTTTTTGCCCCTTTTTTTATTATTTTATGTATATCTGAAAGTAAAGATCTATGACAAGGTTAAGTGAGCCAAGTAGAGTAAATTGTTAATTGCACATTCTCGGAAATCCATGCTTGGCAGGAAGACTTCCTCTAGGGAAGGATGCTTTTGCTAGCGGTTCTAGTTGCTGTCTTCTGTAGCGTAATCTTTACAGAAAATCTCATGAGGCTACATGTGCTGCCACAGGTGTGTCAGGAGTTAGCACTTGTCTCGGAGGAAGCAAAGAGGATGTCCACTACCAGTGATAGAGTTTCTGAAAGCTTTTTGTGCCATCGCCCTCTCTGCTTGTACGCTTTCTGTCTAACGGATGCTGTGAGAAGATTACTTAAATGCTGAGGTGCATTTAGCAGCTAGGGTCAATATTAGATCTAATTTTGGGAGGTCTAAGTTGAAGTGTCGCTCCTTTTAAAGACAGAAGATCTTTTTAAGCCTACATAGGAATAGGTAAACATAGCGCTACTCTTTGCCTTTTTGTGTTGTCTTTGCCTTCTTCGGTATTTCTTTTTCCTGTTCATTAGCCGTTCTCTAATAACATGCTCTGTTGTGAATTCTGGGTGTGGCGCCATTATAATTCTATTGTAAAGTCTATGAATTTTTAATAAAGACTTGGAATGTTGGCTGATAGACATGCGAGGGCTGCTACAGTCTATTTAGTGACTACATCTGTAAGTCCTCTATTAATTCTAGTTTTGAAAGTGTCATTTTAAGAAATGTCTAAGGTTATATTTCTGTTTGTCTCTTAAAAAATGAGACTGAATAGTCTAAGGGTGACGTTATCCTCGGATATAGCCACACATAACTTGGTTCTTTGTCTAACAAACTCTTCTGTCGATTTTTCTTCAGTCTATCTAGCGTATTGCATATTTATAATTCATTAGCTGGTTATCTGGATTGTGTTTGTCTGAAAGATGTAGGCACTGTTGAGTGCAGCGAAATCTGTTTGTTATCCTTTAAGCCACCCCACTTTTTCTGATGTTTGTATAGAGCTAGGAAATACCAAGCACCATAATGCCATTTCCACCCAGCTTTCTTGTGCCATATAGACAGACAAAATTCTTTAAACCTGAAATTTAAAAATAATAAGCAGTGTTCCAGTGCCTGCTGACTTCTGCTTTAATATTGGAATAATACGTAGCACTTGTTAACTCTCCAGCCATTCTAGTGTGTCCCAGCATGTTACTTGGCTCTTCTCTAAGCATTTCTTTTATGCAAGAAGATCTGTTTCCTCCACAGTGGTACCAAGTTGTGTAATTGTTTGCTTATTACCGCAAGTTACAAGGAGGCCCAATAGGCATGGCCTGGGCTGTAGAACAAAACACTGACTGGCTTCCAGAAGAAGAAGGAAAGGGGGGTGAGAGCGAAAGGACCACCAAGGGTGTGTAGCCGAGCAGATACTGGAAATTTGGCACGCTCTGCTGTGCGGTACGGAGGGTATTACCGTTTCTTCTAACGAGGAGGGTGTAAGGAATGAAATGCTTATGAACTGCTGAAAAATGTTGTGGCCTTGTGTGAATGAAAGCTGCCAGCAGATTTTATCTGGTTGGTCGGTTGGTTGTTTCTGGAGTGAACGTTTGTGTGCCAGTTTGGTGAGCGTAACATCTGTGCTGCTCGAGCGTCGGGCAGTGGCCGGGCTTCGGTGCCCACAAGCAAACATCCGGAACAGGGCTGGCGGTGGTCTGCTTGCGGCTTTTGTTCAGGCATCTGTTTACCTCTCCCAGCAGAGGACCCCCACGTCTGGCCACACGTCTGGCAGGAGCGGGCGGCCAACGTTGGGACGTGCACACGCATGTGGGAGTGACAGCATGATGGAGAGGGTCCCCATGCTACAGGGCGCTGGGCCCACGGGGC